ATCTATCTATCTATCTATCTATCTATCTATCTATCTATCTATCTATCGTCACTTGCTAGTTTTGTGACCTTGGGTTTTACTCAAGTTTTCTTTGCCTTGGTTTTCTTGTTTATAAAGCAAGAAAAAAATAGTGTTTGCCTCAACAATTGCTTCGTGAATAGAATAATTAACAGAAAATGGTCCCATGATGATCCAAGCCACAAAACAAGTTTTCATAACAATGTGAGGCAATAACAAATTAAGAGACTGTTTAACTGTTCTATTTCCTAGTTATTGGCAATTGATAACGGGAAAGCTAAAATGTGGGTGTAGAAAAATCAGTTTCATTTATAGCAGGAAGAGAAGAACAGCTTTAACTTTTACAACCCAATGTCTTTACTCAACCCTCACAACTGTAGTCCATCAGTATCGCCCTCGTCTCTGCATCCTGAAGACCTTTACAAAGTTTAATTTTTTAATTTAAAAAAACCCTTAAAGAATATTCTAATAAATTCTGTGAGAATATTTTGCTCATACTCACCCCCCAGCTCCTCCCATATCCCCTCCCTTCCCTACATACCCAACCTCTTGAAAAACAAAAACAAAAATAAACCTACGAGTTCTGTTTCTACTACTCTTATACTCTTGGATGTGGGCATGCGCAGGATGTGGCCACCCTACCAGGTACCACACTCTTAAAGAAAACAACCTTCCCAGCAGCTGCTGATTGCAGGTAGCTCTTCAGCTGGGGCAGGACTTGGTGCCGACCTCCTTGCTGCATGCTGGGATTGTGTCTGACTTGGGCTTCTGCAGGACGTGTGTTGTCGCAATGGCAGTGGTATGTGCAGCTGCCCTGTTGTGTCTGGAAAGTGATTTCTGTGTTCATCGTTCACCGCCCATGGTCCTGAGCTTTGGGACGACGGCCCGTGTTATCGGTACCGTGTAGAGCTGAGCACTGTGCAGTGCTAATCTCTTCATCGTGATAACTTGTGGGTCTCTGTGTTAGTTACCATCTACTGCAGAAAGAAGTTTCTCTGGTGAGATCTGAGAGATGCACAGATCAACAGGTAAAATAATAAGCCACCAGGAGTTAGTTAAATACTATGTCCATCTAAAAGCATGATAGTTTCTTCCCTAGGGACTATCTATCCACAGATTACTAGTTCTGATAATGATGCCAAGTATAGATCCATCTTGTGAATGAGATCTTAAACACCAATCAGAAAGTGTTTGGTTACTTCCATTACTGTCATGCCAATATTGTACCAGTGGGTGTATCTCATCAAGCAGGTTATTATTATAACTCACAGGGCTCACAGATGGGTAAAACTGATGATTAATTTTCTTCTCTTGTAGTATGCATAGCACCATATAGCACTATGAAAGCTAATCACTAGGATTAAAGCATCTAGTGTCCCCTTCTCTATCCTGCCTTCCCTCCCCACACCACATTTAATCCTTTCTGTTCTGTTATTAATCTTTCCCCCTTTATGCCACTCATTCTATTTCCCCTCCCTTAAAACTTCCCCCAGGATCCCTTACTGACCTCTGTGTGTATTTCAAATGAAGCACAAATATTTAAAGATTCAATGCCATCATCTATAAATGAGAGAAAATACGTAACATTCATTTTTCTGGTTCTGGATTTTATTTTCCCCAGACAGAATATTTCCAGCTCCATCCATTTACTTGAAAATTTAATAATTTTATTTTAATGTCTAAATGATATTCTATTATGTAAACATATAACAGTTACATTGTTCATTTATCTATCAATGGGCATCTAGGATGTTTCCATTTCTTGAATATTGTAAATAAAGCAGCAATGAACATGGCTAAACCAATACTTCTCTAGTAGGATATAGATTCCTTTGGGTATATTGCCAAGAGTGGAACAGTCAGCCAGAACTTATCATAGATCTGGGTCTAGCTTTGTGAGGACTCTCCCCCACTGACTTACACAGTGGCTGCCTCAGTTTACATTCCCACTAACAGTGAATAACTCTTCCCTTTTCCTCACGTCCAAGCCAGCATTTGTTATTTTTTTAATTTATATATATATGTATATATATATGTATGTATGTATATATTTTTAAAATCAAGTTCATTGAGCATTCAGTGGGGTCTTTGGTAATAGACTTTTTAGTTAATTCCTGAAAAGTTTCTTCTGTCATTTCTTTGATCTTCTTATTAATATTCTCTTTCTAATGATTATAAAACTCACATTGTTAAGTTTTGGGCCTTTTTAAAAAATCCCCTAGTTTTCCTAATTTCTAATTTTTTTGTGTTCTATCTGTTATGAAATTTCATCAGATTTTCCAGTTCTTCTCTCTGCAGTGTGTGTTTGTATTTATGTGTATGTCTATACATATGTGTTTATTTGCGAATGCATGAATTCAGTGGTATTCTTCTGTTCTTGTTTCAGGGATAACTTCTATCCCCCTGAGGAAAATGTAATTAAAAATCAGTTTGTTTTATTAGAAGCTTTCTTCAAATAGACGACAACCCTTGTTTATATGTAGCTGAAACATTAAGAAATGTTTTACGATTGGACAGTTCACAGTGTTGATAACAACACTGACTTTACCATTTCCTTATTGTTTGTCACAGATAATCTTTCTCAGGAAGGTTTTAAGTCCCTTTTCTGTCACTAGTTGCCCAGTAACATGGCCTAGATAATGTTTAAAGAAGAGAGGTATATATTGGCTCATTTTTGGTGATGTAAGGTTGAGATGCCATATCTGGTGATGGTCTTTTTGCTGGCAAATCCTCCAGTGTTCAATCAGAGGACTCTACCCCAATGACCTTGTCTATTTACCTTTCCAAGGCCCCACCTCCAGACTCCATGTATGGATAAAATTTCAACCCTCTTAATACAGCACAGTGGGCATTGAACTATAACGTGAGTTTGGGGCTGATAAACCATATTCAGACCCTGGCAAAATTAGTGTCTACAGCCAAGCATTCTCTTGTCCTCTCCCTAGGAAATATAAGCCTAGCTATCGTGGATTATGAGGCACTTCTGGTAAGCCGTGGGTCTTCCTTTACTACAAAGAGATAGACGTTAACCCAGTTCCCTTGTTGAGAAGTTGGGCTTGGGGTGTAGCCCTTCTGACGCGGAGTTTGTATCCTGCTTCAAGCCATCCACTCAGCTCCACGAGCTGTCAATCTCTCCAACGACTCGACCCCGCAATCACTTTTCTTTCAAGTTCTCCTTCCTAGCTAATGCCCCCCTGTCTCTAATCGAGTCGCCTGTCATTGTCCACACGTGTTCTTCACACTGCTCATCGGCTTCTGTCGATCTTGTTGCCTTTGTCTCATTGTTGCATAAACCCATTGCAGTCACTTTAGTGGGATTTGGGAGATGGCGAGGGTGTGTACGGGCAGCATGTAATCTACTGGTAAAATTTTAAAGTATTATTTATTCCTATCCCATGCATCATAAATACTTTGGGGGGCTTGCTTTGGGTGCCCTCCTTAAAGGATTTCTTACAATAATTCCTATTTCATTCAACCATTTCATATTAGCTTCATTGCTACACTTCCCCTTATTCTATGACCAAGCTTAGATTCTTAGCACACCCTAAGGTTTTTCTCATTCATTGCTGTTCACACATTTTCTTGGGTCATTACCATGTCCTGTTACCCATCGCAAACTTCATTCGTTTAAGTCTTTCTCACCCACCTTTCTTCACTATTGAACTTTAACTGAACTATGTGTATTTTTGGCCTAGTAAGGCCAAAATGCAAGATGGCAAGGTCTGATAACTAAGCCTAGAAGGCAGCCGACTTGCTAAGGTATGCAAGCGTGTCAATTGTGATTTGATTGATGTTATGACGTATAAGTAACATTGATATAATATATTGGTATAATATATATAAATTTGGTTTCAGAGAACTTCATCTACAATAAATTTGTCACCAGGAGAAGTGGAAGAAGAGGAGGAGGATCCAAACACTTGTGGGCCCACAGGACTTTGGGAAGCACTAACTCCTTGTAACGGATGTAGAAACCTTGGCTTCCCCATGCTTGCACAGGTAAAGGTTTGCTTCTATTAAGGTAAATGTAAGATGGTAGAATATTTTTTTTTGTGATTCCGTCTTTTTCTTTCAGAAATGTACTTAGATTAGCTTACTGTGTGTGTCAGTGCAGCATATAGGAAAGAATTTTCACATTTTTTTATGATTTTTAATTTTGTTTGTGGCACTCAAAGTTTTTCCTACCTATACATTTTAATGCTTCTGATTCATACATATTCCATTTAAAAAAACAATATTTTAAACAAATAGTAAGGTGCGGTGTAAAGCTGTGGTTAGAGAAGGCTGTTTTAGGTTGTTTAAAAGCACCAGTAATGATATATAATTTCTAAGCACAATGGAAGCATTATGGAATAATATGAATACATCCTATGTCTGTCAAAATGAGACAGAGCACTAAAATATTGACTATACATTTGTAAACATTTCGTTATTTATTAAATCATCTTTATTTTATTATGGGCCCTAATTTTCCGAAATTAAATAATAGAGTTAGGAAATTGGAAGCTGAAATATTTCTATATGAGATGAGATAAACTTTATACAGATGAAGATAATGCTAAAAGAAGATCAATTGTGTTGAAAATAAGTAGAAACGTAGTCTAGGAAAGACAAAATCATTTTGTCTAAAAATGTATATCACAAATATAATTTGTATGTTTTGCACCTGTGTCTAGAAACCATCGTTTTTCTCATGGTTATGTCACAGAGTTTGGCCATAGCCTTCTAAATACCAATAAGAATTGATGTGGAACGCTAAATATTTATTCAACTTGATATATAGTATTTAAAACTTTCTCCATAGGACTTTTGTAATGTCTGATATTAATAAATAATGGGCTGTGGGTTCTGTCAAGAGGGAAAATCAGTGCTTGGATGTTCAGTTTCTGTGGATCACAGCAGTGAGGTTCTTGTTGTAGTCCGAATAGTGCTGAGCCAGCAGACCTGTCTTCGCTTAAGGTCTTCTTTCACAGGATAAAAATCTATACCCATGTTTGCGTGAGTGAAGAGTAAGAAAAAAAGCCCCCATTTTTGTTTTATGAATATCCTAACCTGATTAACAGATTAATAATAATGAACACCCTTGCCCATTTTTATTAAAGTTCAAGTCTTTGTAAAAGTATGTTTTTTTTTAAATTGGGTTATAGACCTTAAAAAGTAGGACTCCTAAAATAAAGTGACAGAGCCATTACAATGCGCTCTGACACTCAAGTCATTAATACTATGACTATATCTGGTTACTCAACACTTTACTAATGATTGCTCTAAGTATTTTCTAATTTTTAAGTATTAGTACTAACTTTTTCCTGATTTTCAATTTTTAAATGTTGGATATTTCTTTGGCTATTTGTCTGTGAAGACTGGTATTGCTTCAATAAATTTCTTAGATGTTCTAGATACTAATATTTCAGTAGTTCCATTCATCACGAAGTATTCCTAATCGTCAGCTTCTCTGTTGTCTTAATTTGCGTGCATGTGCACAAGTGTATTGTGTAGCTTTTTAATATAAAATTCATTAAACTTTTGAAGCTATTTTTCCTTTAATTGATTGCTTTTGGAATTATTTTTAACTTCAATTACAGATACTATTCTAAATTGGATTTTGCTTGTTAATACCTAGTTTTCCTAAACTGTCCTAGGAGCAATAACATATTCCTCTTATTATATTTCATCCTTATGTTTTGGGATTACTTTCAGAGGTTACTTATTCCTGCTTTCCTACTGTGTAAACATCATGACTTTGTGTTGATACTATTACCCCATGTTATTATATTAAAACTATTACCTGATTTGATTGTTTGCTTTTTAACTTTTATATTTTATAATTGCTATACCTAGTTTGAAAAGTATTCTCATTTGGCTTTAATTGCCTCAATATTAAATATACGGATTTACTTGTGGTACAGTAGTTTTTAAATCGGATTTAATCTAACAAACCTGAAATGGGGTTCTCACTAATGCTCTTCTCATGTAAGTTCTTGAGAATGTGTATTGTGTGTCTGGGTACAATTATCATAGGCTTGCCTTTACATACATATAAATAAGCCTATATATACATATAAATAAGCCTATATACATATATACATACACACACATATATGTCTTTCAAAAAACATGTGAAAGAATTTTACAGTTTTATAGCTAATACACACCACTTATTTCAAATTATTCTATTATCAGTTGGTGTGGATGCATGTGCCATTGTGCATGTGTGGGGGTTAAAGGACAACTTCAGTCTTCCCTCTCTGTCCTTATTTAGATTCCAGGATAGAACTCAGGCTGCCAGGCTCCCATGGCGGTACTTCACCCACTAAGCCATCTCTCGGGTCCTGTGTGTACTTTATATAGTTTGTAACTGGCATCATCTTTAAGCCATAACACAGGATATTCTGAGCATATGATTTAGCCATCCAGAGATCACATATTTTAAATATTTTAAAACTATTTATCTTTAATTTATTCAGTATTTCTTAGCTTCTTTTTGAAGAGGCAAGAGGACGGGTGTTATTTCAGAACTTTAAGGAAACTTTGTGACTTACTCTAAGGTGGCAGGGAGCATCCGGATTTCTGCTCAGAAGAAGAAAGAGATAATGTTTTATCACCAGAGGGGTATAAACTCTAAAAAGACACAGATTCAGGAAGCCAGCCTTAGAAAATAGAGAATGCACAGAGATCTTGATCACCATTTACTCAGTGATTAGCCAGGGCTCACCCTGTAGTAAGCGCAGGGTCCCTACCTGCAAGGAGCTGACGGTATGATTGCTTTGAACCGTTTTAGAGCACCGCCAAGCATCAAATGAGATGTATTGAAATGAAATAACATGCCACTTGAAACAATTTTCACTGTAAAACTATTAAAGTCTTTAATGTCTTTCCATTTTGGGTACTTTGCCCAAAGGAACCTATGATTAGATATACTTTCTCAATAATATAACCTTGGAGCTTTTAAAACAAAAGCATCCAACCTACAAAATATTTTATTTAGGAGTTGTTTTTTCATATTTATATCATATTTTGAGGACCATTAAAGTCAGTATATACGTATCAAGCTTAATGAATAGCTGTTTCCTTATACTCTGCTATGGGTTACGTTGTGGTTGGTGCCATTAACATGGCATTTTATACTTTTTACATGCCCAGATGTGTAAAGACTATATTCAGTGTACAGAACAGTTTGTACTTCATATTTCTACTACTTAATTTAATTGAATCTAACAAACATGTATCAAATATATTTTATGTTTAAAGCATAGAGTCGAGCTTCCAAAGCATGAATTTCATGGATAGAAAGTAGACTCACCTAGTGTCCATGTTACCTGTATATCTAATCCTACAATGTTTGTAAGCTCAAGCAATAATTTAACTTGTAAATGAGAACGTAAGCCTAAATCTCAGTTTAAGTCCGTGTTTTGAACCTACTTAATATTTCAGAATTTAGTTTTCTTCTTTCCTTCCTCCAATAGTAAAAATGGACCGAACAGGCTAAACGATGGGCTCTTTCAAGTCCACGCCTGTGAGCAAATCATGCAGTGTTTTAACTGTTCTTTGTGACTGGACCAGCACCTCTGCAAACAAAATTCCCCCTAAACTCATGAAGGTTCAGAACCCTAAACAACATCAGGTGATTATTATGAAACACTGAGATTTGCTGCCTCCAGAGGTTTTATATAAAACCAGTAAGATAAGTCAGACGGTGAAGTAGAAGCCACAGAAGCCCTTTCTGGAAAACATGTCCACATTCAAATCTGTGTCTCAACAGTGCTGACCACAGTGATTCCTACCCCCCCCCCCAACACGGTGTACGGTGTGCGAGGCATTTCACAGATATCATTTCTCTTTTGAAGTGCTAGCAATGTTCACAAAGTTAATGGTCTCCAAATGATGCTCGTTTGACCTTGGGCCTTTCCATTTATCATGCCTTTCTAGAAGTAGGGGTAGGGTTCTCAGCATTCAAGGCTTTCCGTGACCCTTAAATGCTCTCCTCAAAGCACCGTGGTCTCATTTTCTATTCTGTACAAAGACTTCTGCTGGGTTCTTGATTTCTTCCTCAAACATGGGTATTCAGGGTATCCCGGGCCATAGTGCCTGTACGGCTCCCCTGGAGTCTTCAGGATCGTAAACAAGGTTTTCCCATGTATCTGAAGAAGGACACAGTTTAAGACAGGGTGGCCAGGAGCAGCAAGCCTCACTGGAGCTGTTTTTATGGCATCTTACCTGTACAGACTTGGAGGGAAGCAGCTTGGTTAGTTCTAAGATGTTTGTATGCCTATCTCTTTCCAGCGTGGCAGGGCCATATCTGACCGAGTCTTCACAGACAGCAGCCAGTTTGGCTAGCAGTATGTCATTAGAGAGTGTGAAATTGGTGTGAGCAGTGCCTGCCATGCCTACAGCCACCATTCAGGCTTGGCTGTATGTGTGGGTCACTGTTCCTCGCTGGTCTGGATGAAGCCACTCTAAAACATCATCGTGAGCTTGAAGATAGCAATTCCTCCCTGTTCTCTTCCTGTTGCGTTTCTTCTTTTTATTTTTTTTTAAAGAGAACAAACTGTCTTTTTTCATTACACATACCATTCCAAGTTCCCACTCCCTCCCCTCATCCCTTTCTCTCCAAATACCTCCCACCCCTATCCACTCCTCAGAGAGGGTAAGGCACATTGCTTTGGGGAAGGTCCAAGGCCCTTATTATATTTAGGCTGAGCAAGGTATCCGTCCAAAGAGAATAGGTTCCCAAAAAAGCCAGTACAAGCAGTAGGGGTAAATCCTGGTTCCACTGCCAGTGGTCGCTCAGTCTGCCCCAGCCATGCAACTGTCAGCTACATTCAGAGGGCCTAGTTTGGTCCTATGCTTGTTCCTTCCCAGTCTGGCTGGAGTTAGTGAGCTCCCATTAGCTCAGATAGACTGTTTTAGTGGGTGAACTCATTATAGTCTTGGCCTCTTTGCTTATATTCCCAGTCCTCCCACTCTTCGACTGGAGTTTGAGCGCTCAGTTCGGTGCTCCG